ACAGAGGAATAAAAATGTTATCTAGCACATCCACATCCATGACAGAGTCAGACTTTATTTTCTTTTATGCTGAAAAAAGGGACAACAGAAAATGCTTGACAGACTTTAAATTTGGCCTCTAGTAGTTTGCAAATCACAGCCAGGAGACACAGTTGCTGGGTGATGGTGGCAAATGGAATTTTGTTATTTCTGCAGTGTACTTCTAACACACATTAATGTAGATGTGGCAGAACACACTTGTGGACGCTTTGGGTACAAAACCACTGGGTTTTTATTGGCATCCTCATGTGACACCTCAAGAAATTACTCTTCAGATAACAGTGTATTTTGTTCCATACACACACAGGCTGATAGTTTTACTTCTCTGATTTGGATTTGTAGTGAGATAAGGATTGCGTATAAGCCTGTCTATCTTAATTTCAAATACTGGTTTTAGAATCCCTAACAGCACACCAGCAAAGGCCATCTTTACTCTGGTGTCATTAGTGGATGTTTTCAGTTTCTGTTCACTGGACTGCAACTGTAAAAACAATTTGAGTATGAGTGGATATTGATAAACTTAAGGGAAGTAGTCCACTACTAATATGAGTTTCATGAACATTCAAGTTCATGAACATCAGCACACTGATACTACTGATGTATTCTGCTAATGTCTGAAATAGCTGTTCGTTTAAAACTTGTAATTCAGAAAAGGTGGCTCTCTGTTGCATTGGCATTTTTGAAGCAGATAAATCCTGTTACATTTGCCATATTGTACATGCCATGTGTTTAGTCAGCAGACTTGTTGAGTGCTTAGTCCAGTTCCCATAGCAGATAGAAATATTTGCATTCTGTCAGCTCTTGAGAGAACTTGTGGTGTTCTGTTTATCCTGAGTTTCTTGAAAATAATTTAGTTCATGATCTTTCTACATAAGCTTCATAGACAGAAATACTGCTTCCCTCAAGTTTTTTGTGAGCCTTATATTTACATTTACAGTACTTTATGTCTTCAGGAAAGTACAAAAAAGTGAAAAATTGAGTTCTGTCACTATTAATGCCATTATTCTTGTATGGCAAATATACTTCTAAATTTATTTTGGAGAGAAGATAATTTTCAAACTTGAAATATCTAAGTTCTGTTACTTCAGTAATACCCATTGATTTCATGTATGTAATTTCAGGGGGTTTGTGTAATATCGAGGTTGAGTAACACGAGATGAAAAACTTTTCACTGAAAATGTCATTCACCCATCTTTGCCAAAATTAATGCTCAAAGAGGGCAGATTCTGTGCAAATTCTGCCCCATTCAAATTTTTCTGTTTTCCAACAATTCACATATCCTTGTGAGCTTAATCATAAACATATCCAAGCCTGAAATTGCAACAATTGAAAGTTGAAGAGGCCAGGTATGGAACCCCAGTAACAGAGTAACAAAAATTAAGGTAATTTTGGCAGTGTAAGCAATAGAATTTTACACGTATTTAAAAGGCGGTAGTGCTTAACAATGTCGATGCCAATGCTGATCTTTTATCAGCCATGACACCAGAACAGTTTGAATTGTAAGGCAGAAGCAAAGGCAGTTGTTTCTCTTTCCTTGGTGGGAGGTTATAACAGCTGGCAGTAAAAGAGAGGGGGAAATAAAAGACAATAAATATTCAGGTTGTTGAACTTTGTTTAAGAAATAGTTTGTGTACCAGGAATAGGTTTGATTTTGTGTTATCTAGCCAGAATAATTAATAAGTTCCTATAATGAATGTAAACAATTTTATATGACATTGAGCTCTTTTGTAAATAATATGCTATATGAAATTCTGTATGCAAATAAGAAATTATTTTAATAACATTAAATGATGAAGTATTTGAAGAGCATTCTGTTGACATCACCAGTGTTTGATCATCTTGCAACTTGCAGCTTTCAAACAGCAATAGGTAATATTAGACTGTTAGACTTAACACACCATTCTGAGTGTCCCTGAGTGTATTTTTGTTTGGTATAATAATCAACCTACTGCAAAATTTACTTAATCATGTGTTCAACTTGCTATGTTCCAGCCTATGTTTTAAGAAGGACTTAAAAAACAGATTTTTTGAAGTAGATACAATGGAAACACTATAGTTCAGAGCTATCTTCTGGCTACTAACAGAATTCAAGGAGACATGGTTGGAAAACTGTCCCAGGCATTTTTTCTTGATTTGGAAATTCAGTCTTTCATTTATGATACAGAAGTGTGTCTTCTGAAAGAGAAAAAAGCAATTCTGCTAATTCACAGGGTTTTTTCCTCTCCCTAGGAGGAATGTATGTGGGAGGAAGAGTAATCTTGTCTTACAAATCAGAGGTGCAGTTCACAAAGCAAAAATGCCCTTTGGAATATCTAGGAAAATGAAAGGCATTACAAAGTATACAAATTAACACTTTTGTTTGAAGTGTTAGTGTCAGCCTCTCACCTTCACTTATGCGATCTAAACACCACCATTATGTTTTTAATCACATAAACTGACATGTATAGATGCATGTATGTGTCTATACACAACCACTTAACAATGTTCTCATATCCTTGTTTGCTGCTACTCTCAGATTGGAGTGGGTGCATTAGCCATAGGTAGAGTAATCCTGTGTCAGCAACAGCCTTGCCTTTCCTTTTTTTGAAGTGGCAAAAGATGACTCTTGTAGTTGGTTACTTGCAGATCTGCTAGAACTGAGCAAATTGTTGCCCTGTTAGAACTTTCATCTCATAGTTTCACAGCTTCTTAAATTTGTTACTGGTTTCTAAATATCAGTGGGGTTTGTTGTCTGCGTGAATCCATCTGAGAGCTTGTTCAGGTAAAACTACAGTAGTTCTGTTCTCTCTAGGCTCGTGAATAAGGCTACTCAAGTAGTGGTTGCTCTTTGAATGTTTTTCCTAGTAAGTGACCGTAGGCCAAGAAAATTGAAATTTCTACAAATATGGGTAGATTGGGGTTTCTTGTTTAATAGGAAGTTTAGTACTCGTGCAGATGACAGAAGAATGACTGTGGTGGGTCAGACTGAAGGTGAGTGTAGCCCAGTATTGTCTCCAGCAGAGGCCAAAAGTGAGTGCTCAGAGAGAATATAAGAATGAGACATGTATTTCTCCTTTGAGTGCTTTCTGAGCCGCCAAATTCATGTTGCCCAAACTTTTTGAACAACAATTGTACTTTATTATAGATACTCTGCTAGCCCAAATAACAGAACATATTCAGTATATGCCAAAGATATTTTGTCAGGAAAGCAAGGTATTTCTTTAGGAATTGTTAAGTCTCTTTGAAGTTTTGTTATTTAATAAATGAATGAGTAATGGAACGAGTAACTTGAGTAGTTTAAGGAGAACCACCATTTGCTTGATGAATTTCCCAAACCTTCAACATGAAGAGGAAGGTAAGTCAAGACAGGTCCTGTTGGGAGACAGATAAAATAAGCTGCTTTGTATTTCAGGAAGTGCTGTGGGAGCTGCAGGAGGCATCATCTAATTGATAGTCTGAAGAAATAACAGGATTTTGCTGACCTCCTCATTTGTACATAATTTGTACCTGTTAGGGAAAACCCTATTTCTGTTTTAGAAGTTTCTCTGGGCCTGTCTTCTATTAATACAGTTGTTATCTCTATCTACAGCTTAGACAAGTTTGAGGGTAGTCTTCGAAGCATAAGAAAAGTAATATGCTGTAGGACATGTGTGACTTCTCATCTTGAAGTCAAGAAGATATTGTATTAGTATTTCTAAGTGCCATTAACTCTCTCAACAGATCTGCTTGAGAAATACTTCTGTCTGGATCTGATTTATGAACTTGAAATGGTACTTGGTTAAGAACTATACTATCAGGGTTTTTTCTTTCTGGAAGGAAGACAAGACAAAACTATTTACGATTCTCATTCTAGACTCAAATTCACACCTAGCTGGTCCTCTCTCTCCTCAATCTGCTAAAATCACAGGCTTGAAATGAAAGGTGCTTGGTATAAATAAAGCTTGTAGCACAAATTAAAATAGGAGGAAAGAGATCAGTCTTCTTTAAATAATGACTGCATATCTAGAGAGGTTTAACAAGACTACAAGCAGAGATGATCAGGTCTTGGCAATAGTAGTCAGAAGATCAGTCTTAACTGTGAGGCACAATCTAGACATAGATAACCTCCAGAACATGTCCAGATTTGGCAATTTTACCAAAGTACTCAGATAACGTAATACATATTTAAACCACTCAAACATTTCCTTCTTTCTTCTGTCTGTGATATTAAACAGCTCCCACCCATTTGACGTTGTAGAGTGAGTGATTCAGATCTATTGGCTCTTGGTTGTGGAAAAATCTGCCTTGAGGTCAGTTATGGTTCATACCACGAGCAGCCATCCTTTCTTCACTCTGCCTAACTTCAGCCTGATTTATTAAATGGACACAATATCATTACTTTCTGCTGTTAAGGATCTGCATAGTGTCGTATGCAAAGTATAAGGACTTCTGAATGCTCCGTGCATGCAGGAGCCTGTCTGTGAAAGCTGGCCCCTGTTGGGCCCAAGCAGAAAGTAAAGGAGGTGGCTGTGACTCAAAAGCCAGAAATACTGAGAGAGAGCCTAGAGGAGTCCATTGCTGCCACACTGATGGTAACCCTTGTGAACACCTTCCCACCCTGTGGAAAGCAGCAAATTGTAACAGCCCAGAAAATGCTTAAGACGTGTCAGAATTTCGAGTTCTGCTGTGTTCCTGAACATCTTTCCTCAAACTGGAGGAGGTTTTTTCCCTGCCTCCCGCTCCCCTGGGATTGTTTCCTGTACACAACAATCAGATTTTAGTGATTGCAACTTTTTCTTTTCTGATTTACAAGCCTACATGAGGTCTTTTGGATTCATTATGCATGAACCAGTCTGTATCTGGGGACGAATGATGTTCCATCTTACTTTCTTTTTGCCCTTGCACTGAACAGTTTTGTTTTTTAACAGAAATGCTTTTTTCCTTTTGAGAACTCTCAGAAATATGTTCCTTTAAGAGCCTCCTACATGGTATGCATTTGCCATTTGTAAACAGTATGTCAAAGAATGATTTGATTCAGTGGTGAGGCAGCCAGATATTTGCATGTCATGAGGTCTAAGGGAAACAAACTGACCCTCAGCCTTCCCCCATCCAGGGAAATTCTGATGGGACCCTCAAATAGCTCTGGCAAAGTGTTCTGTTTCTTTTGGACTTGATGGATGCTTGTTTCTGTGAAGACGTGTAATTATTTCTTCCTTTATTTTGCTGCGCAAGTTACTGAGAGAAGCAGCTTAAAACTAAATGTGAGTATTGAGGCTTTTTTTCCATTATTCCTTTATCTGATAAACTTTAAACTTGTTAGTATAGAAGGTACTTAGTTTGATGTTTTGAGCAAGAGTGCAGGAAGTTTTTCCTAACAAAACTGCTGAATAAATTAGATGCAGACTTCCACATATATATTATGTTTTTAATTTTGTGTACCTAAAGAGATAGAGTTTTAAAAAAAAAATTTAGTAATTATTTTCATTGTATTAATTGGCTCCCCCATTAATTTGCAGAAAGATTGTCTGGGGTCTCCCTTGTAAAGAGATGAGAATAAGTTTTGTTTACTCCAAAGAACCATCCAACAAAATATGAGTATGCTTTTTCCCATTACATTTTTATCTCCTAGCAAGATTTCATTTGCTTTTGCAAGAAAAAATTCTAGATAGTGTATTTTCTGTTAAGTCACTTGTTTCTAGCATGAGTACTTTTAGCACCTAATGTGGATTGTTCTTGATTTTGGAAGTAAAACAGTTTCCAAGCTGGCTTTTGTAAGAAGTCAAAATATTGCTATAAAAAACAAGTATCATCTTCAAATTCTCCCTCCATGAGATGTTTTCTGTTATATTTCTTTATTTTTAGGATCATACATTTTTTAGAATTTACATTTAGAAATTAAATTTCAGATGCCTTTTTTTTTGGTTTGTGTTAATATTTTTGTTCTCTTTGTGCAACAAGTTGTTATTTGTACAGTAACAGAACAAACTGCAGTGGATTTGATATATTAACATTATTACAGATTGCTGGTGGCCATCCCTTGTAATTTTAACTCAGGATCAGGAAAATCGCTTTGACTCAAGGGTGTTTAATTGGTAGAATACTGAGATGATACTAACTAACTAACAAGATTAGAGAAAAATTAATTCAAAAGCTGCTTGAAAGAGATTCTGATGTATGGTGTCTCCAAATTATTTGCGGGCAGTCATAATTTATAAGGCATGTCTTTTTTGGTTGACATGGTAAGACGCATGTTCTGTCGTCTCCGTACCCATAATCCCAACTTTTTTCATTTCTTTTCCCTACCAGAGTTTTATTTCTTGAAACAACAATTAAAAGCTTTTAGTATTGCCTAACCATGGACAGACAGACAGAAATATTTTAACCAGCATGCTTCCAAACATCAAGCCCAAAATCAGAGGGTGAAATTCCAAACCTGTTGGAAGGAGCAGCCCTCCTGCCGACTCAAGCTCTAGGTGTTGTCAAGGCTTTCAGATCACCTGGAGAGTAAATCTGAGCAGAGTTTTACTCCACATTTCCCTGCCAATTTAGGGTAAATTATGCTCATAAATTTATCATCTCTAGTTCAACTGTTCTATTAAAATCTCTAGAGCCCTAAGTTTGGAAGCTGGCGTGGTGAAATGCTGCTAATGTTCCACTTGGGCTGCTGCAGCTGAACTCATTCTTTTGGGAACGGGGCATGCAGCTCTTATGAGAAAGGAGGCTGTGAGCTCCTTGTTTCATACATTTGTGTTTTCCTGTAAAATGTCAGAGGGATCAAGTAAGGACATTTGTGTGGAAATATGCAAACATGACTCCAAGAAAACAAGTTAATAAAACCCCATGGCAGAAATTCTGTAGCAGAGATAAAGGGAAGGACAAGACTCACAAAGAGAAGCTACACTACCTTAGTTCCTTCATAACGATGGCTAATTCTAATTTCTGCTAGAAGTCACCCTGGAGAGGAATTTGTATCTGTCCTTTAGCTAAAAAAAGTGCCTTACTCATTAGCTTCACCAGGTTTAAGCTAGTTTTTGTGAATATCCTCATTCTCTGTTGCCATGTAGTACGTGTCAGCTATCTTCCCTTCTTGTTCCCCTTTCTTAAACTTAGGAGGTTTTTTTGATTCTACTTCATTCATGCTACTTTTCTTCCCAGCTATGGTTGTCTTTGAATTTGTTCAAGATCCATGTAAGAGGACTGGTTAATTCTTGCACATCTCAGTGTAATGGATCTGAACGGGATGTCCTCATTGGTTACTGGCCTCACACTTGAGAGGCTTTCTCAGAAAAATATTCATCTTCCTGTAATGTGTCTTTGTGCATAGGTAGCAGAATTAATAGCAAGAATGACCAAGTGCCAGAGGATGGTGTAGTTGCTGACTGAACATTTTGCATAAGAATGTCATCATAACCTCAGAGTCACAAAGGACAATTGCAAAGTGCGCAACTGGAGCATTTTATTGCTTTGGCTAAATTTGGAAGTGTTTTCTACCTCTAGCACTGGGAGTTGACCAGTTGGCAACCTTTGCACACTGCTTTTAACTATCCCAGGCCAGTGCCATGGAAACAGCCTGATGAGCAGACCCATCTTATGACAAAGGTGCAGTGAATGGCTTCCCACTCCTGACGGTTTGCTCTCTGACCTCGAGGAAGTCAATTACATTGCTTTGACAAGTATTAATCTTTTCTGTAGACAAGCAACTCACAAATGTGTTTTAGGATTACTTTATTACTGTTGTTAGAAAAGCATCCTGAAACCTTTGAAAGGAAGGCTGTAAAATACCTCAGAGGTTTAGGTTTCATTCTATTTATCAGAAGCCCATAACAATATTAGGCTTAAACTTGCTTGTCAAGATCAGTCTTTCTCAAGTGAACTCTTCAAGTTTCAAATTCAGCCACATAATGATTAATTTATGTACTAAAACATACAAAACTGTGGCATAATTAGAGTTCAAAAATCTAACTTGCATGGGAAAAAATGTTTAGAGTAAAAACTATTTCATGCCGGTCTTCCAACTGGCAATCTTTCTTTAGTTTAGTGCTTGAAAGTTGAAGAGCATTGAGAACTATTTCAAATTAAAAGATCAAACAGTTTGGGTTTATTTGATTATTTAAAAATACAGTAGCAGAATTCTTAATTTGTTTATCACTTGCTTAGACTTTTTACTGAAAACATTTAATAAATTTTACATAAATTAGCAGAAAGGCTTTGGATTGTATTTGTTCCTTGGTGCAGTTCTGCCACTGTGTTCCACTCTCCCCCTCCTCAGACAAACATTTTTCACCACAGCTGATCAGAATTATCTGAACACCATCCTCTACCAAAACTAGTCAAATCCATTTGAGTTTTGTAAAGATGGTTGTTGCTAAATTCTTCACATCGTCACTAGAATAAGTCCACAACCAGACTCTACAGGTATCAGTGGGCTCACTGTTCCACAATATCCTTGAGTTAAATTACATATTCTTAAATTGCTCCTTCATGTTAGAAAGGAATTTCTTCATTCTTACCAAATTTCCTCCAGCATTCTAAGATTTAGTGGTAGGTTTTATTTGTCTGAAACAAATGCTGACTCTCTTGGATGTTCAGATAAACATTAGCCTTAATTTTTCTTCAATCGGATAAGGTCAATCCTACACTAGAACCAATTTTTAGATAGTGTATATTTATAATCACAGGAAGAAATTCACTCTGAAGTCATGGTGCCAAAAACAAAACAACAACAACAACAAAAAAGACTTTTTCACATATCAGGACATTACAAAAATCCCAGCAGGGCAGTTACTGAAGGGTCAGTAACCTCACATCATAATAAAGAAAGACAGAATACCATGGTCTACTAATTTTAAATCATAGCCACTTCTAGACTATTTTAAGTAGAAAATGTTTAATGTGTGGTGCAGAGACTTTAAGGCTCGAGGGAAATATTAGGATACCCAGTCGCATAATTGTTCTGCAGATTTTATCTCCCAAGAAGGCAGAACAGGTAATGTAAGAGTCACAAAGGCTTCAAGTAGGGGGCAAATGTCACTGGTGGGGACTCAGGGCTGAATCTCTGTAAGGACTGGTCATTGCTGCTGCCACAGGATGTGAGGATTCAAGCTAAAACTGAGTCAATGCTATGTTATCCCCTGTCTTGTTTGACAGCACATTATCTACTCAACTGCTCAAGACTCCAGAGGTCTTTAAGTACCATTTTTTGCCTGTTTAATGGATGATTCACAAAGCCACATATTTAAAGAGCAAAAATAGGAAAAGCACCAACATTTTTTTCCTATATTTGTGACCCTGTTATTTTTCCTCCTGGTAGAGGACCAAAAAGCCAAAGACCTCCACTCCCTGGTCTGTTTTCCACCAGCCCCACTCCCAAAAGGGTTCTCCTAAAAACGTTCACTGCCTTCAAAATTCCTTTTGTGAGACCACTTCTAAAACTATTTTTACACTGTGAGTCCATATATCCCTTGACTGTGCTAGGATGAAATGTGCTGGATAACTATCAACAGTGAATATAGGACATGATGTAAAGGAATGTGTATATCTGAATATTTAATCTTTTTTTTTCCCCAGCCCAAAAGCCAGCAGTCTGCCCCTGATGCACCCATGTAGATAATCTTAAAAGGCTGTCCTGTCCACAGTGTGTTTAAGGCACCCAGGGCAGGAAATAAAAGCAAAAAGCCACCCTGCTATAATTCCACATCACTGGTGGTATGCACACACAGCTGAATTGCACTAGTTTGTAACTGCAGCCATGGTGCAGATACTGAGACTTCATAACAGAATTGTGCATAGTACTGCCCAATAGATAATAATTCTGCACACCAACTGCAGAATTAAACCCTAATCCAGACAATATTAAACCACCTAATTTGACATCCATGAGTTGAGATAAATTATTCAGCTGCATTAATTTGCACACAGATGCCAGTGTTCCTAGTGATCTGTTTTAAGAGAAGACACAGCAGGTGGTCATGTAGCACTTAGAGAGAAGCAGAAGGAAGGGAAATAAGTCTGTTGAAGAGTACCCACAGCATATTTTGATGTTGGTTGTTTGTTGTGAGCTCTCCTAGAAACCTTTCTCGCCATCTGTCTCAGTTATATCATACAACCAGTTCATTACTGTAAAAATGGTATAATACAAAGAGTGACACTTCTTTCAGATTTTCTTTACCAGATTATATGCTTCGTGGTCTGTCTACCTAGGAGATGCAATATATGCATTTTAATATGCTTCTGCTGTTATTATTATATCTCTGTATTCCAA